CTCACCCTTAGCAAACCTCTGATCTTTTCTTAGTAGTAGCTGAACATGCTCAGAGGTAGAATCTCCCCTTGCAAAAGCCTGGTGGTGCCCATGCTGTGGGAAGCTGCACCCAGCTTGGTGTTCCCTGTCTTGTTAACCTGTGAGGATTACAGAAAAAGGAATAATACTCAAAAGGAAAAATACTCAAAATACTCAAAAGTTGCCTTTAGTGGAAATGACATCATTTCTGCTCACAGCGGTGTTTTTTAATAAGACACTTTCAGCAGAAAGCAGTGTCCACTTGAAGAGTGCTCACAAAGTGAAAATGAGCTTGCTTGCAGCTAGTTTGCCTTCTCAAAGTAACACAACTGTCTGCACTTCTCTCTGCAGCCTTTTGCAGCTGGTCATCTCAGGACCTGTACAGCAACCGGCCCACAGCGCTCTGCCTCCAGGATTCTATCCTCACATCCACACCCCCCCTCTGGGTTACCCTGCACACGGTGCTCACCCCGCTCTCCCAGCTCACCCTGCTCTCCCAGCTCACCCCGTACAAACGTTCATACCAGGAATGACGTTCCCCTACAGGCCTATCCGCTAACGTGCTCAGACTGCAGAAGGTGATGGCTTCCCTTGGTCTGAGGAAGCCTTGCAGAGAAAAGCAACCGTCTCCAGAGCCAAGTTTTCCTCTTCGTTGGGAAGCTGGGCAGTGCCTGCAGGAGGGCTCCACCTCTGGGAGCAGAGAAGACTCCAGGGGGAGGATAGCAGTTACTCTGAATGTGGGCTGAGGATATGAGAGCACCACATGGATGAAGGGAGGGAGTGGAAAAAGGCAAGCGAGTCGAACCCTCTGGAGCATGCGGCGACCCTTTTGACCCACGGTATTTGATACAAGCACCGTGCTCAGTACATCTCTCAGCGGGGTGCAGCGGGGTGTTTGTCAGTAGCCCCTGCCTGTTTGGCACACTGAGAGCAGCACAGTCGTGCTCTGGGCGGTGGGGCCAGATGGAAAGCCATACAGTTTTTCACGCAAATCCACTCCAGCCTGTCCATCTCTTTGTAAATGTTTGTATCTATAGCTACAGAATGTGTACACTGTATATTTTTGGAACACAAATGTTTGCTTCAGAAGCACAAGGTAGAATAAAGCATCACTTCCTATTAAAGGAAACCGCTTAAGACGCATCACGTAGTTCGGTGGCTTTATCTTTCGGTAGCGATTAGGAGGTGCGATGCGATAGGCCGGCACTGGGGGAGGGGCGGGGCAGCCGCTGCCGGCTGCCCGGAAGGGGGCGTGGCCTCAACTCGCGCCCCCCATTTGCGCATGCGTCGCTTGTGCTGGTCACGTGAGACAAGCAGCCAATGGGGAGTCGCGTTGTTGCGCGGTGCCTAAGGCAGGAAGGAAGGGCTCGCCCGCCCGCTCGCCCGCCGGTGTCCGCCGTGGCTCCGGCTCTTCGCCTGGCCTCGCCGCTACGGCATGCGCTGAGCGCCCGCACCGCCCCGTCTGCTGCGCGCCCGGCGCCCGCCGGCACTGCCCGGCACCGCCGCCCCTTCCAGGTGAGCTGGGGGTGTTGCTGCTGCGGGCGCGTTCCGGTGGAAGGAGCAGGCCGGAGCTCTCGGTTAACTGGAGCCCTGTGGTGTGAGCGGCTCGAGAAGGGCTGAGGGAGCTGCAGTTGTTCAGCCTGGAGAAGGCTCTGGTGAGACCTCAGCGTAGCCATCCTGTGCCTAAAGGGAGCTTAGAAGTGGGAGAGGGAGCGGGCATATAGCTATAGGACAGAGGGGAACGGCTTTAAACTGAGCGAGAGGAGATTCGGGTGAGATGTGAGGAGGAAACCCTTCACTCTGAGGGCGCTGAGGTGCTGCCCAGTGCTGGGGGTGCCCCATCCGTGGAGGGGCATCCTGGGCAGCTTGAGCTGGTGTGGGCAGCCAGCCTATGACAGGGCTGGAGCTGGGGGCTGTGAGGTCCCTTCCAACCCAACCATTCTGTGAACTGCTGCAGTTATGCCTATGGAGTTGTGTCGTTTGAGCTTTTAAAGGGAAAAGGTGAACTCTGGCTAAAAGAACTGCTGCTGTGCTCTGTAGCTGGGCGTGGAAGTGCTACTAAAGAAAGGCATTTCCTGGTTCAGCTGAGGTCAGGTGGTTCTCTGGCTGTGCTTCCAGCCTGTTCCCCTGCTGGACTAGTTCTAGGCTCACTTTAGGGGGCTCAGCCACCAGCATGCAGCTCTGCAGCATAACCAGGGCCTTGCAGCTCCATCCTTCACAGCAGTGCTTTGCTTGGGTGGACACTGGGGGTCCCAGCAGCACCACGTCCTGCTACCTGGCAGCTCACATACCACCCTGCTGCCACTTAACAGGTTGCACTGAGACAGCTCAGCCTCTGTGCCCTGCCCTGTGCAAGCGTTGTGCCTGTCTGAATGTGCCTGTGCCTTCAGCACAAAGCATGCAATACCTTGATGTACTGTGTAAGCAGACAAGCAGTTGCGTGGATTTGAAGGATGTGTCATGAGGTTTTTAATTGCAGCTGATTAAGCTGAGCCTTAAACGCTGTCCCAATGATGTCAGCAGCATTTCCTGCCCCTGGCAGTGGCACAGGTGTAGTTGATGTTGGGAGAAGCACTTGGCTGCCTGGTTCTTCAGTGCCCGTCCTGCCCTGTACGGTGGGGCCTGATACATGTGCTATCCTTGTGGCTGAAGTAAATTCTCCATTTCTGCCTGCCAGACCCAAATGTTGAAGGCATTGCTGCTCTCTGCATGCTGTCAGTGCTGCTGTGACCAGCACTACTGGTGACAGAGCACTTGCTTGTCCAGCTGCTGCTCTGCTTTGCAGGACAGCTGCTGGCTGCACAGATACCCCAAGGCCCTTTGATAGTGAGGTATCTGGGCAATGCAGGTGAAATTGAAGTGTGGGTGAAATCGTTTGAATGCTGGCTTAGCATTGGGGTTTGCTGTGTCCAGCACGTCTGAGCCCTCAAATGATTGCAGTTGCCATGTGTTCAAGTGTTTCATTCTGCTGCTGAACTGATCAGTCTGCTCTGCTGTGTTTTGCTTTGTGCTGCTTCAGCACCTTCACACTGGCAGTTTGTGCCAGGCACATGGGTGAGCTGTTGAGAACTGCAGGAGTGTACCTCGATGTCCGACCTTCTATGTCAGATGCACTAAAAGTTTGTGGCACACAGAGGACTTGCTGGCTCAGACACGATGCGTGTTGTGTTTATCTTGCTCATCTCTGCTTATCCTGACGACTGTCAGAATCCTGGTTTGCTGCTGAGCAGCCAACTGATGTTCTCAGGGAACTGTGCAAGCATGGATTTTTCCCTCGTGGTTAATGCGAATTGGCAACCTTTGCCTGTTTCTAGCTGGCATTCCTTATTTGTCTACCGACATGCAGGCACTGCCTTCCAGTGTGTTGGTCTTTTGTGTGCTGGTCTTTTGGCTGTGAACGTGTTCCATGACTGTGAACAGCTTTGGATTTTGCTACCCTGAAAATCTGTGCCTTATCCCAGAGTTCTGTAGGCAAACTTCGGTGCGTATCGGTTAATCTGTTCTTCCCTCCAGTTGTCATGGATGTGCTGAACAGATTACACCTGGGTGCCTTTCCCTTAAGAGCTCATGCTGGATTTTATTTCCTGTCATTTATTCCATTTAATCTGTCAGAGGCTCTCCCTTTCACCTCTGTGACTTTTTTCCTCTTTAAAAGCCTTTATGGGATGCTTGTGGTGCATTTTGGGAGTGAAGCTGATGGCTCTCTCCTAGCATTCTATAACCAGTGTGTGCAATATCTGCACTCACAAGCTGACACTGGAGGTGCCTCGTACCCACCTGGAGCTGACTGAGCTGTGGCAGGCAGTGCAGCCGCATTCCTGCTTTGTTCCCTGTGCTGACTGACAAGCTGTTCAGCGAGAGCTCCGCCTTCCCTCAGCGCTCCTCTTTAAACACTCATGTCTTCAGTGTGGGGCACTGCAAAAAGACCCACAGCTTTACGCCTTGCTCTGCTTCCCCCTCTCCTAGCAGGAAGGCTGCAGCTGGTTGGTTTCCCAACGTTAGTTTGTAAGTCAGTTTGGAATTCCTTGGTTTAAACTTCTTGCTGTGGGTGCCAGAATCTATTTTGAATGCTACAAGCTTGCAGCAGAGCCAGTGGTGTGCTGAACCAAGGGTGGGCGTCTCGTGCTGGAAAACGCCACTGAGAAAGGAAGAGGAAAGCAGCCTCATTGGTGCACATTATAAGTACAGATCTTGGAGAGCAGCGAGCCTGGGAGCCTTCTGCCAGCTGGGGAAGGGAATATATTGTCAGTTGTTTTCAGTAGCCTCTGGAGGTTGCTGCTGGTGCCTTTGTGATGGAGCGCATGCTGTGCCTGAGTTGAGACGGCTCGGTAGCGAGGACAGCGCCTCGTGATGGAGATGGGCTTGGAATTCCCTCTCCCAGCCTTTGCACTGTGCTGATTTCTGTCTCTTTGAGTCACTGCATGCATCTTGTGTGCAGCTGTTTGTTCTAATTCTGGGATGGCAGCGGGCCTGCATGCAGATGAGCTGCCCGGGGTTCCTGGTTCTGGGAGGAGCAGCCGTGCTGGATGCCTGCCGTGCTCAGTGCTCACGTGGTGCTGCCTTCCTCCGTCACCTCCTGCTGCTGAACGTGCCTCTGCTGGGACCCTCAGCCTTCAGCTCCTGCAGTGCTGCTGTCACAAGGCAGATTTTCTCTTCTGTGTGTCAACAAGAGGAGCTTTAACAACAGAACCCTCTTAGCAATTCTTACTCACCCGGAGGAGTGGCAGGAGGAAGCTGAGCATTCTGCAGTGTGCTCTGGGGATGCTTTGTGTGGCAACAGCCTGCGTGAAATCACGGCTCCTGTGATGCATCCAGAGCTGTAGGGGGAAAGAACAGCCCTGAGAGCCTCTCATGGTTGCCAGGTTAGCATGAGTGTGAGTGAGCAGAGGACAGGGATGCACTTGTGGATGGATTTCTCTGACAGTGAGTGTTCTGATCTCAGATGTAACTGCTGTTTGTTCTACAGGTACAGGTGATTTTGTCTTCTTGCTGAGTATCCTTTTGGGATCTGTTTCACACTGTGATCCTCCCTGGCAGAACTGCTGCAATTCCAAGAGTTTGGCTTTTGGACTTCAGTCCCTTGGCGAGTGAACTGCAGCCTGGGCACAGTGAAAGCAAAGTGCAGAGCCAGGAACAAGGTGCCAGTTTCCTAGTGATGTCTGCAGAGTGTAGGTGCTGAGGCAGGTCTGGCTGAGCAGCATGGGGTGAGCCTGGAGGAGGGGCCTGGCCCACCATTCAGTGAGGTTACGTGGGAAGGCAGGAGCTCAGCAGCTTTTCAAATCCAGTTGCAGTTTTATTATATTAAATAAAAGGAGCACAGTAACAGGGGTATCTGTGTGGGACATTCCCTGCGAGACCAGTAACCTAAAAATGCAGCGTGCTTAAAGTGAAATGCAGAACGGAACTCTTTACTCCTTGCTTGGAATAAGGCCCTTGGCTGTTTCACATCAAAAGGTTTCATGTGAATCTGATCCCCAGCACTGGGTGCTGTGAGGTGGAGGCACAGAGCTGTGCAGTCCCGCAGTGCTCGCAGTGCTCAGTGCTGTGCTGCTGCCCTGTGTTTGGAGCAGCTCTTCGCCTTCCCTCCAGGCTTTGTCTCGTCCTCTTTATTTGCAAGTGGGACAGAATGTCGGATGTGAATAAAAACTTGTCTTTCTCCCCTGGGAATCTCATCTTGTGGGGGTTGTCCTTGTGGCCACGTGGGGATTTGTTGCTGTGTTGGGAGCAGCCCCACATGGGAACCCAGCTCTGCAGTGCTGTGCCTGCACATCTTCCAGGCTGCCAGCTGCCCTGCTTGTGCCCAGCACACGCTCTGCTCCTGTAAGTGAGGCGCAGCTGCTGCACACGCGTTGGTCCCTGAAGCAGGGCTGTGATCTGGCAGAGCCAGTGCACTCCTTGTTGAGTATCTGTGTGTGATTCCAGTTGGTGTTTGTTTAACTTCAGTCTTAGTTTGTCTTGGGTTTATTCTGCCAGGGAACTGGGTGGTTTTATTTCTGATCGACAGCATTTGTGTCTGATGAGCTGCTTTGGATGGCAGTGGAAATCCAAACAAGAATTTGGGTAAGTGGCATTGTAAGGTTGTTCATTCTTCAAATCCAGCTGATGTTTGCAGGATGCACAGAGCAGAAGCATTGTTAGGGCATGTCTAATGCACTAAAAAAGGGAAGCCTTGTTGGATTGCTTGGCCAGGCTGTGTGGAAGGCATAGAATTGCCTGAAGGGTTTTTTAAAGCCCTCACACAGTTTCTCACTGAATTCTAGTGTCTGCTTTGTCTTGCATTTGAACATCTTAGATGTAGAGTGTTGGTTCAGGGTGGTTAGCTAAATTTCTCTGGGAATAGAACATTATGTAGAGCTTCTCATCTTATTTCTTATATGCAAGAGCTCTAGAAAGGAAGGAGAATTTCCTGCTCCGGAGAGAAGTTTGAGCTGAGGTTTCTTTGCTGTGAATCACCTCATTCAAGGAAAGAACATGTCTTATGAGCTGCTGGCTCAGCTAAGCTCCAAGCAAGGCATGCACAGTAGGAGCTGGGGGTGCTGGTGGCAGCAGTGCACAGCCTGGGTGCCAAATATGATGGGTTAGTTTGCAGCAGGTTCCTCTGCAGCCAGCCCATACACAGAAAGCCAAAACTGCTTCCTTCCACCTGGGGCTTTCATGTAATGTTGTGCTGAGTTTATCTCAGTGAAGCGAGGCACGAGGCTGTGGATGCTCAGAGCCTTCGTGCTTTCATGTCATTTTCTTGAAATTCATTTGTATGTTAAAGATCTGCAGTTTTTAGGTAGGAAATGGACTTGAAACTGGCTTTTTTTCCTTTGTACTTCTGATCTGCTGTTCTGAAAAAAAAAAAAACCAACCCAACAACCAACCAGGCTGACTGTGAAAGTGATGCACAAAGCAGAGCTTCCCTTGGCACAGTCACGTCCTGTCAGCTCTTACATCAGTACTTGGCCAGCAAATGCAGATGAGATGTTATTTTCTCTGAAGTGTTTTGCTGCTCTAATTGTGCTGCTGTGATCTCAAGCTCTCCCTAACGGGCAGAGGAGAAGCTTAGAATTCACTTTGGTAGCAGCTGTGACGGCTGTACTGCAGATCTACGTTGATGTGCACTGTGTGAGTTAATTTCTGCCTTGTACTGTCAGGTGCTTGGTTATAACCTCCCTTTTCTGTGGGTTAGGGCAGCGTGAGGCTGCTCTCTGGGCTGCAAGCTTTTGGACGTGCTGGCAAATTGCTCGGATGTTTCAGTCTCATCTGCTCCATATTCAGCTATTGCACTCTTTCCAACAGCATCACGTGCCATTCCAGCCTCCTGCCTGTTTTCCACTTTAACCCTCCCATCTCTGCGTGGTGGGGTTGGGCTTTTGGGAAGGACCTTAGCAAGCTATGGGAGATGGAGGTGGAATTTAGTTTGTCCTGCTTGAAGAAGCCTGGTATGGCTGCCTATGGAGTGGCTTCCTCAGGCTGGGCACCTGCATGTTTGTCTCCTGGTGCTTCAGTGTTCCCTTGGTCTGTTTCTGGCAAAACGAAGTTATCAGGGTGCTGGAACTGACGGCATTTGAGCCCAGCTGCATCCAAAAGCCAGGCTGTGGGAGGACACCTGCTTTGGTGCCCAGCAGATTTTGCATGGTGTTAATGCCCTGTGCTGGTCACCAACCCTGTCCTGCGTGTGCAGGAGTGCTCCTGTGTCCGGTGTAGGCAGGCTGTGGGTTTTGGCACAGGTTGTTACTTCCTCAGAAACCATTTTCTGGACATGTCCTTCTTATTAGCTGTCTCTGTGTGTGATCTGGCCTGCGTATTTTTCCCCTGTTGGCAGTAGTTCATGAATATTTCAGTTTGTAATTGTTAAGCAGGTGTTCTTCTTTCCTGCAGGTACCCATGCAGCCTTTTCCAGCTTCTTGAGGGCTGTGTGCAAGCCAAACCAAGCTTCACGTGTAGCCACAGTGCTCGGCTTGCACCCAGCTGCAGCCCAGAGAGCCTGGGGCTGAGGCAGCGATTGCAGCCAGTTGGTGCTTCTGCAAGCAGTGAGGCAAAGAAAAATAATTACAGAGCACTGTCACAGCTGATAATCAGCTTATGGGTGAGGATTTGGAGTTCCTCTGCCTTTAGTCTAAGTGGTGCCACTCCATCACTGCCACTTGAGTGCGGTTTATCTTGTCTCTTCACTTCTCCCTGCAAACCTGGGGGAAGAATTTTCATCAAGTGCTGCTGCAAACTGCAGTTGCCCTCCGTTCTCCCTGATTTCATAGAGATAGACCTACCAGGTAACACATAGTGCTTGCCTGGCTCTTAGAGAGTGTAATGATTGCTGAACATGAGCTGATCCTCACAGCACGGCCCCCGTGCTGCTGGCTGAGTGCTCCGGGGCGCCCCAAAACCTGACTGTGTCCCAACTCTTTCTTTCATCCCTAATTTACTGACGCTGAGAGGATTTGATAGTGGTTGACTGAGAAGAGGCATTGACTTACAGGGTCATCAAAACTTCTCAAGAGTGAGAAGATCTGTAGTAAGAAGAGCAATGCTGCTGCTGAGCTCAAGGGTGAAGTTGCGGTGCGTTGGGCTGTCACTGCAGGGCTGGCAGGCCCAGATTCGGACCCCCCAAAATGTCACACCTGTCTTAGCTGTCAAAGTAGTTTTAAAACCAGTGAGACTGCAGATATTGTGTGGGGTTTTTTTAGGTGCTTGTTGTTTTGAAACTAACATTTGGAGTGATTGTGAAAGCAGCTCAGTAAGTGTGCAGCCACGGTCCGGTGAAATAGCTGCAGTTCTTCCTGGGTGCTTCTGCAGAGAGGAGCAGGTGAGCAAAGGAAGCTGGCTCACCGGCCTGGGAGCGTGGAGCTGGGGCTGGACCTGCTGTGGCTGGGGGAACAGCAGGGAAAGGCACTGCAGGAGAATTGGTGTTGTGTGGTTGTGTGTGTGTGAGAGCAGATCAGACTCAGGTCGTTGCTGTGTGGACCCTGTGTGCCTTTTTGCTGTGTTTTACAGGGTGTGTTATGATGGAATTCTTACACTGCTCAAACGGCTGCAGCCCCCTGTGCTGAAATCTGCTCATCTCAAGTCTCTGAATTTAAAAGCAAGGGTGCTGGAGAGCTGAGCAGCCCCTTCAGCAGCAGGCAGTGCCCAAGTGCTGCAGTTTGCAGCTTCTCTTCAAGCATTTCAAACCCCCCAGCTACATCAGCGCTCCTCCCAGCTTGGTGCAAACTGACTGAGGGTGCACTCAGCTGGAAGAACAACTCCCTGCACACCAAGAGCTGCCCTAGCACAGACACCTGCCTGTGTTCCATCCTTCCTGATGTGCTTTCTTGTCTTGCAGGTGTGAATGACAGAGGAGGTGCCTCCGACCGCGCTCACCGACGTGAACCTGCGTCTGCTGTGCCACGATGACATAGATGCAGTGAAGCAGCTCTGTGGTGACTGGTTCCCAATAGAGTACGTTGCTGTGTGGATATGGGTGGTGGCACCAAGCCTGTGCTCTGAGCTGCAGCCCTGGGCTGGTGCTGAGCAGGCAGCAGTGCTGAAGCTCCTGTGCACCCCGGTGCTGCTGGTGGCGGTGGTGGCCTGCTGCCACGAGTCCTGGTGTCAGCTGGAAGGCTGTGCATGCGTGGTTATTGGCAGAAGGGTGGGCTTTGCAATCAGTGGTGCTTCCTGCAAAACACTGGAGGAGATGGGGAAGAGAGGGCGATGGGCACCCTCTGCAATAGGCTTTTGTTGAGGCCAAACCTCTGGGTAGAGGAAGCTTGTGCAGAACTCTTGTCTGAGGCCTCACAGTTTTGTGTTGGGTTTGGGTTTTTTTCATTAAAAATATTCCTGCTTCTCCACTCTCTTAGCATAAAAGCTTTTGTATAAGTCTTTTCTGTAGCTCTGCTTTGAGCACCAGCTCAGTTCCCCACGTGGTAAATGCTTGTGTCTGCACAAGCACAGGACTGTCTGAAACTTTCTGTCTGAAACTACAGCTTCGGGTTTTAAAACTTTTAATCTTTTTTTTCCCTTTGAGAGGGTTTATAGAGGATGTTAGCAGGCTGTAATTAAGATCACGAGCAACAAACCAGCAAAAGCATTTGTGGAGTTTAGAATTTGTATCTCTGCTTAAGGTAGGAGGCGTGCTGAATTCTCTTGAACCTGAATAAGTGTATGCTGGCTTCCCTGTGGTGGCATGGAGCAGGGAGGGCACCTGGAGGCTGCTCACGTGGTATTTTGATGTACATTAGTACAAAATAATATCTTTCTTCCTTCCAGGTACCCTGACTCATGGTACCGAGATATCACCTCCAACAAGAAGTTCTTTTCCCTCGCAGCCACGTACAGAGGCTCCATCGTGGGAATGATAGTGGCAGAGATCAAGAGCAGAACAAAGGTGCATAAAGAGGTAGGAAACCTGTGCTTCAGTTTGAGAAGCTCTGCCCCTTGCTTGGTGAGCTGGGATGGAGCTGCTTGGGGGCTCTTTCCCAACTGCACTCAGAAGCTGTCCTGAACTGATTGTGAAGAGCCAGGAATGTGCTGCTTTCCAGCTAACGGAGCCTGAGGGATGGGGTGTGTTTGGACAGTGGTCTGTCACAGAAAGTCCCTTTCTGCTGGGGTTGGGCAGCTGTGCTCTGATAGCAAACTCGCTTCCTGACTGCAAAGAGCTGCAAAGAGAAATCAGGTAATGCTGCTGTGGTCTCCAAACCCCTTGGGCTCTGTTGCCTGGCTGTTCTCAGTGTGCCTGAGAAGTTCGTGCAGCCAAAGGACAGCAAAACTACTCCTCTCTTACACAAGCTGTGCACTTCCTTAGCTGTGCCAGGTGAGTCACTGCTGCGAGCTGCCTTCCTGAACAACCTCAGTGTCCTTCATTTCACAGTCACTTCTTGAGCACAAAGCAGAGGCCACCAACCTGCAGGAAGGTCAGGCCTCGGGGTGACAGAGCTCAGAGGCCTGGAGGGAAGCACAGTGTGCTCAGAAAGGGGAAGGAGAGGTGGCTGCTGAAGAGGGTGAGACAGGAGACCCCAGGGTGGTGTAGGGAGGGCAACGTAGGAAAGCAGATTAAAAACAAAGTGGTGGAAACGTGGTGGGCTTAAAGGCCATCAGCACTGTGATGGTGTGGAGCAGTCAGCAACTCCTGCAGGAGCCAGGTGCTCGAAGTGGCACTGGGCTCTTCACTCTAGCTGACTTCACCCCAGAGCTGGTCGAAGTCAAACGGAGTCTTCAGCAGCTACCAAAAGGCTCTTGTTCTAAACACTGAAAGCCAGGGCTTATCCAGACTCTGTCCCAGACAGCTGGGCCTATAGAGCATGTTCCTTGTCCTCTCCAGCTGATACAAAGCCCTGAGCAGGCAATCAAGTCTGTTGCTGCTAAGCTACGGTCTGATCCAGGCCCTGGTGTGTGACTCGGCCTTGGCGGTGTGAATCCTTCTTGGTTTAGAGTGCAGATACATTGTGTCCTTAGGCCTGCAAACCATGTATATAGTAAAGAAACATTGTGGTTTGTGTTCTGTGGCTGGAAAGGCCAAGCAAACGTGGGAGTTCACCCAGGGGACAGCACTCCTTTCATCTTTCTCCACTGATCAGCGAAGATTCCTGCTTTGTTTTCATGTGTTCTGGTACAAGATTCTTGCTTTCTCCTCTGCCTTGCCAGGTACCTGACTAAATACCTTGTCCTATCTCTACTCAGGATGGAGACATCCTAGCTTCCAATTTTCCTTTGGACACTCAAGTTGCTTACATACTCAGTCTTGGTGTGGTGAAGGAGTTCAGGAAGCACGGGATTGGTGAGTTGCTAAATGACAATTCTGTGGGCATCTGTGGGCACGGGTCAGAAAGCTGCACCACTTCACTCCAGTTTCCTTTTGAGAAAACCTTCTCTGTGATTGATCCCAGCACTTGCAGAGATGCTCTCACATCCACTTTGTGCTGCTCGTGTGGCTTTAAACTTACAGCTTAAACCAACAGAAGTGTTTAGAGAAAGCTGAAGGAAATTGGAAGAGGAGTGTAACTCAGACCTGATTTAACATGTCACGTCCATGTGAGCTCTGAATCCCTGCTGCAACACACAGCAGTTTTGCAGCCAATTGGGAATCTTGCAGCCAGAAGGGCTCGTCTCTGTTTGGAGCAGGAAGTTGTCATCACTAAGTGCCCTTCTGGTGCAATTTCAAGCATGATCTGCATCTTTGATCTGCCAAAGGAAGGAGGTCAGGTTTGGCAGCATGACTCACTGTTGCATATCTGGAGCCTCTTCAGTGGATACAGCTGTGGGCTGTATCTCCCTTCCCCCTTCCTTTAGAAAGGTAAGAGTTGGTAGGATGTGTCAAGACCTCAGTGGGAGGCTGTAATTAAACCTTACGTTGAAATGCTACTTTAGATAGATTATCTGTGCAAAGAATAAAGTGCTCACACAGAGCAGTGCTCAGATAAGTTAGTAAAGGGGCATTCTGTAAAACTGGGGCTGTTTGAGGGTCCCTTCAGTTTCCAAATCACCGTTCTTTTCAGCTCCATGTTGCTGGACTTTCCTCCTTACAGCATCAGCATTTCCTGTACCCATTAAATCCAGGCAGCGTGTCCAAACCTTTGCACTGTACCTGCAGCAGAAGAACCTTAAGGAGCTGCTGCTGCTTTTTCTGAGAGCTTTCCAAGAGTTTTTCTACTCATGTTTGAAGCTGCAGTCTTACATGTAGGAGGTTTTTCACTGCGAGTACATTTTAAAAGCACTGGAGCTGTGATTTCTGCTGGCAGGCATTAGAAGCTTTTCGTTTCTGGTTCTCTGTTCTTCTCAAACCAGAATGCACTTGCCTTACCGTGAGCTGTGAGTGGCATATCTGATAACAAAATTAAACTGCTCTCCCGTTGAGGTTTCTGTGTCTTTTTGTGCTTGGCTGATAACAAATTCCTGCTGAGTCTGAAGTAACGTAGTGTCGGCGCTGCTGGCTTCTGCTGTGAAATCCTGCGGGCCCTGCAGGAGCCCAGCTGTGCCCTGAGGATTGTGAAAGAGCCCGTTTCATCTCAGTGCTTGGATTAGCCTTTAGGCTGTTGTTAGTGCTGGATGGAGTTAGTCCTGCAGCTTCTGCTGGCTCCTTCCCACGCTGAGGTGGCTTGGATGAGCCTCCAGGTCCTGTGTGCTGGGGCTCTGTGTCCTCTGTGCCCTTCTCTGGTTTCCCTGCTGCTCTCCTTTCCTCGTGGCTGAGCAGATACAGGCTGAGTGAGACAACGACTTGCCCTTCTCCTAAGAAGGGAGCTTAAATCCTACCAGCTCTTTTCTTTCAATTTCCTATACTCGGTGCAATGATCTGCTTGTCAAATCCTGTTGTCTCTGCTCTTTTGAATGCCTATAAAGTCAGTGAGCAGATGGAAGCGATACCGCTGCAGGTGACTCAGTGGCCTTATGCAAAGCTGGGTGCTGTGTGGTGGGGATGGGTGCTGCTGGCACAGTTCCTTTGTGGTTGCTGAGCCAGAAGGGTTTGTCTTTATCACTCTGTTCTGTGAAACCAGGCTCAGAGGTGAGACGAGGTTTCCATTAAAACCCTGCAGTGCTGCCCTGTTGAATGTCCTCATGGCGCCCTGGGGAGCGGGGGGATCTGATCTCTTACACGTGTGCAGCAGTTGCTGCTTGGCTGCTGGCTGCCAGAGATCTCAGCCAGGAGCCCTGCAGAGCTGTGCTGGCCCTGAGGGACGCAGCTGCACTGCCTGATTCTGCTCTTCTTTCTTTCTACAGGTTCGCTCCTGCTTGAAAGTTTAAAAGACCATATATCAACGACTGCCCAGGATCACTGCAAAGCCATCTACCTGCACGTCCTCACCACTAACAACACAGCAATAAACTTCTATGAGAACAGAGACTTTAAACAGCACCACTACCTGCCCTATTACTATTCCATAAGAGGGGTCCTCAAAGATGGCTTTACCTACGTCCTGTACATCAACGGTGGGCACCCGCCCTGGACGATCTTATATCCTTTGGGTTCAGCCTGGTGTCCAGCGAGGCACACGGAGCAGGCATCAGCCATGGCTGGGCCTAAAGATGGCAAGCCAGCCGAGTGTGACCTGCCTGTGTGTGGGGACTGATGCCTGCTCAGATGGGAGCTTAGTTGATTTCCCTGCAGCCAGAAGGAAGGCAGTGTTAGACAGGTTCAGATCCACTTGTGCCCAGACTTCCCCAGCTCTACTGGGAACAGTGAAGGATGGGAAATTGAATTTGAAGCTGAGGCCAGTTTCTGTGGATGCTCGTGTTAAACCAGCATACCAGGCACGCTTTGCCTTGCATGGTGCAGATTTGGCTGGCACTGTGGCAGAAAAGCCCTTGGTCTTGCTTCCTGCCACTGGGCATCCTGTGACCCTGGCCTGGCTGAGGTCTCAATAGGCTGCTCTCAAACTGAATTTGGGAATTTATTGGGTCCTGGTAAAGAGACTTGATCTCTCTCAGGTATAATTATTCCAGATCTCTCCAGGCAGGTGAGTGTATTTCAGCCCCTGCAGGAAGTTGCTGTGGAGTGCTGGAAGCTAGCAGCTGCTTCGGTGGGCTATTTCCCACCCAGGTTGTAGCTGAGCTGGAGTTGTAACAGTAGCTGATGGTTGGCCTAGATGATCTTACAGGTCTTTTTCAACTTGACTGATGCTGCTATTCTGTTTCCAAATCGTCTCATCTTACGGTGCCAGGTGTACCTGCTTGTGACAGAAAGGAGCAGTCATGCAGTGCGAGGAGCTGGTCTGTCTAACGAGCTGAGCAGAGCAGCCCTCGCCGTGTCAGAGGGTCTCTGTGGCAGGTAGCAGTCCATTGAGAACGTCAGGTTAGCTCTGAAGTCAGAGCATCACCGTCGCTGTCCTTAACAGATGGCCACTGACTACCTGCAGCACATCGGATCCACGCTGGCCAGCCTGAGCCCGTGTTCCATCCCCCAGAGGATATACAGACAAGCCCAGAGCCTTCTCTGCAGCCTTCTGCCATGGTCTGGCATTTCTGCCAAGAGTGGCATCGAGTACAGCCGCACGATGTGACCTCAGCGGATGCACACAGCACAAAGGTTGGTGCCTGAGGGCGGGCTCCCTTCTGGCCCTGTCTGGGGAGCTGGGAGTGTGCTGGAGCTGCCTGCCCACCTCCCTGCTGCGCCCGTGTGTGAAGCATCGCCCTGCCCTGGCGTCCAGCTGCCAACCTGCTGGCTTCATGTGAATGGAGTTTGAATTCTCCTCTTGTTTACGTGGGCTCGGAGCTTTAGAGCAGATTAAAACTGTCCCTGCTGCCTCTGGCCCTTTTCCCAGCCGTTAGACCGGCTTTGATGGATGGAGTAACTGAGCCTCCACTTCACTGACACAGTGTCCCAGTCAGGAACCGAGAGCCAGTGTGCACAGGTCTGACTGAAGTCTGTGGAACTTTGAGACCCATTGACAACTGTTTTCTCTAAGACAGCTTCTCTCTTTGTCTTTCCTTAGGGATCGTTCTTCCTTTCATCTCCTGAACCATCTGGCTCTGCACTGATTCCAGTGATGATGGCTCTTGGTCAGTGACCCACCCCCTGGACAAGACTCCTTATTCCACAGACTGACCAAGATTTTGCAGACTTCACCCTGGACGGGCTGTAGCCCTGACTCACCCTGTGGGCTGGAGCCCGTGAGAGCTCCTGGGAGGCCGGGCTGCCAGGGGGCACCGGGCTGAGGGCTTCCATGTCACCAGTCTGTGAGCATGTCACACTGTCCCTGCCACTTCCCTCGCCTCTGGATGGTTTGCTTGGATGTGATGGGGAGGGGTTCAGTTGCTGCTTCCACGCCACAGCTGCTGAAAGCAGTGTGAGTGAGGTGCACTGACTGTGAGTGAGCAGTGAGCACCCTGGGAGGAGTGGAGCTGCATGGCTGCGTCCTGCCTCGCTAGGGAATCCAGGCAGGGCATCTGCCCCAGGTGAGAGTCTGCCCCAGCCCTTCGGAGGAGGGGGTGTAAAAAGTACCTGATCCAGGATGCACCAAGTAGAAGGCAGGGGATGAAATTGCTATTTCATAGTGAAATATATATTATACTGTATAGATCTTTCTGCCTCTTTCCAAGCTGGAACAGAGCAGGGGAGGGCCTGGAGCTGTGGGACCACTGTGGTAGGCAGAGCCCTTCCCCTCCCAGCACGCATCCTCCCTTGGCACTGGGGCTGCAAGCTTGCAGGATCTTTAGGGCAGAGTGCTGCACGCAGATCACTACAGCTCTTTGTTGCAGAGAAGCCCCCCAGCTGCTTGCTGGGTGCTCCAGGCCACGTTGCCACGGGGCTTCAGTGTAGCTGCCCTCCCTGCAGCCCCGGGGCCGGGCTCAGGGGCTGTGTTCCCCAGCACCAAGTAGCCATGCTGCTGGGAGAGCCCCGAGGCTCCTGTGTGCTGCAGCTGGGCCGGGTCCCTCCGTGATCCCTGCCCCTGGAAGCGAGTGCTTTGCTCCTAGGCTGAGAGTCTGCAGCTCCGTCAGCACCAGTGCTGGAGGTGTGGGGAGCACCGTGTCCCCACTGCGTCCTCTGCCCTGGTGAAGGCTTCCCATACTCGGCGCTGTGCTCCTCCTTCCACTCTTGTGCCCCTCTTGGAAGTGAGGCTTAAGTGAAGGGCAGTGTAAGCTGTGCAGGTTCTGGTGTGCAGGGCCAGCTCTGCTGGTGGGTGAGAGCAGGGAGTGGGGATGAGCCATAGTCTGGGTCAGGTTTAGACCTAGAAGGAGCAAACGTGGTAAGAGCTTGCAGCCCTGATACCATACAAAGTCATTTCAGTGTTTGTAAGCCCCTAAGATGAGAATTAAACAATAAAAGGGTGTGGAGGAGAGCTGACTGCATGGTGCTGTGCTGGTTCATGTGAACGGGGCCAGAGTGGCCCAGTGCTGCCTTGGCTCAGAGCTGCTGGCACAGCAGGCAGCACTGGTGCAGCATTTCCCTGCTCTGCACAGCTCTGACTGCGGGAAGGATTTCAGTCCGGCTGATGGTCTGGCAGATACTTTATTTGGGGGAAGCAGAGGCTGTTGGAGGTGCTGCTCGCTTTTCTGGAATGAGAACAGGGCTGCTTGACAGGAGAAAGTGTTTCTGGGAGGAGGATTGCGCCTGCCAGAGTGCAGTGCAGGGAGCTGCAGGGAGAGCCAGGGCTGGCACGCAGTGCTGGCTACGGTGCAGCTGGGGAGGTTCTGGCTGGGCAGGGAGACCATCCCTGGCTGGGGCATGGAAGTAATGCAGTGTGGGCTCTGCCTGTGGCTGTCAGCATTCCCTGCTCGTGGAGCTGCACAGCCCTGCAGCCACAGCCCGGCAGCAAGCGCGTGGTGCAGCTGCATGCAGAGCAGAGCGTGCCAGCACTGCACACGGTGCAGCACAACTGCTCCAGGTTGGTTCCCTGTGAGCATTTCCCCCCCGCTACGCATTCAGGCAGCCCTGGCCAGCACCAGCTCGTTGGCAGTGGCATAAGACCTCCTTTCCTGTGCCCCGAGGGCCTCATGCACGTAAGGCACCGCTGCCCTTTGCCGCAGGGCCGGTGGCTGCGTGTGAGTCCCCCTGCACGGGGCTCCCTGCCCCCACGGCCCCGTGGCTGTGCTCGCAGTGCCGGCTGTGCTTTGGCTTTGCCGAGGTGTGAGCCGGGCAGCTCTGTTACCTGCAGGCTGCTCAGGCTGCTGCCCCTCACCCAGCCTGGCTGCTCCCAGCGGCAGCTGTGGTGCCTGCAGCCCCTCCTCATCACAGCTCTTGCTCCTGGGAGCCCCGAAGCGCTCTGTCACCTTCATTTGTGTAACTGTTTTTTCCTTCAGCTCCGCCACTTCCTACCTGAACATTCCTCTTGGTTTGTATGAGTTTATTTAGCAACCGAAGGTCCTGCTTTTCTATGGCACTTATGTCCTCTAGATCAGAATGAATCTCCATGTTCCTGGCACTGATGTGACGTTTCCCCCCCCATCCTTCTGCACCCCCAACTCCTCAGCTGCTGCCCTTAGGCACATCCCTGGGGGAGCAGAGTGGTCTATGTGCCATCCTCCTGTCACCCCATCCCCTATGGCATCACACCCCCACCTCACAGCCCGTTATTTATTGAAGAGCACCATGCTGCCGCCGTCAGCCTCTCTAAACGTCTTCAATTAAACCAAATCTCTTTTGTGAGTCGTTTGTTCATCACGGTCCTTCCCCCAATGCTGCACTCTGCCACGATGTGTGCAGCAGCCCTGTGCTGGCTGTGGGGTGCTGCCTGCTGGGCACCTCTGGGGCCCTTGTGCAGTGCAGGACAGACACAGGCAGCAAATAGGGAAAGCAACACCCCTGCCTGAGCCCAGTGCCTGGAAGGGGATGGCGGTGGTGGAGGCAGCTCTGCTCTCACCGGCGCTGAGCTGAGGCAGCAGCTGTGCTGCAGTGACCACAGGTTGGGGCACGACTCAGCACCAGGATGGGGATGGAAGGGGGAGGCAGAGCTGCCATGGGGCAGGCAGGGGCTGGAGGTTTTAGCAAATGGTTTCTGCAGCCTGCAGAGCTGTGTGCCACGCGTGGGCCCTGCTGCAGCTGCAGGCTCAGGGCAGCTGGGCCGGGCACTGGCTGCCTGTGGTCTGGCAGCGGCAGCTGTTAGAGAGCAGTGAATGCCCACCACACAGCCGCTGTGGCACCCGTAACTGAGCTGCTGGCATCAACCACGTGCAAGAACTGTCTTGGGGTCACCAAACAGCAAAAGCTTCAGAAGTTTGCAGAGGTGCAGCACCCCAAATCCTGCGGCACCCTGCGCCCTGCAAGCTGTCCTGGCCCGCGGCCAGAGAGGTGCTGTGCTCGCTCCTCTCCAGGCCGAAGGGCCCCTGCAGGGACAGCAGCTCTGCAGCCTTCTGGAACCCCCCAGTGCTGTGCGCTGGCAGTCAAGAAAGATCCCGACTGCAAAGCGTTCAGCAAAGCCATTTATTCCACTTTCCTGCTCCCGCAGACCTCCAGATAGAAACCCACACGAGTAGAGTATGTCCCAGTGCCCCAGAGGGAATTCAGTGCAAGTCACCGCGGGCACCGGCTTTCCAATGGGAGCCCAGCCTCACAGCTGCCAGCAGAGCAGAGCCCTTCTGCCTGCAACGGCCAAGGCGCTTTACCAGCAGCCTTATTCCTCAGCTGTGTCCACTGCAAAACACAGCTGCGTCCAAGTCAACACAGAGCATCTCAAAATAAGAGTTTTGTTCCTTAAAAATGAAACCGGGACCTGAAAGCAGCAGTGTGTCCCTGAAATCAAAGCGTAATTCTAAGGCTTCAGCACCTTCACATAAGCACATGAACTCTCTGCAGGGGGCTGTGCAGATTGATCTGGGAAGCTCGCTAGAGTTTAATGGCCATAAAAATACATAGCTTTCCCCTGCTTCAGACAATTCCAAACCCTCCTGGCTACACAGCGGAATCTCGCAGCCAGCAACTGGTTGGAAAGTTAGAAGAAAGTCTCTAGTCTCCTCACCCACTTTTAATCAATTACAAACACGGTGGCATCACTCCATGGCTTCAGCCACCGGCTGCTCCAGCACAGCGTCTGCCCCGGGCTGCGCCTGCAGCTCCGCCACCACGGCCTCAGCCCCCGGCACGGCCGCCAGATGCTCCAGCACAGCCTGGCTCTCCAGCCCGGCCGCCTGCTGCTCTGCCAGCTCGGCCGCAGCGTGCGCAGCTGCCTGGTTCTCTCCGCTATCTGCGTATTCATTGCCTGCTCTGGCGGCCGCCGCCAGCTCGTTGGCCTGCTTAGCTGCTGCCATGGCCGCGTGGTCGATCGCCGGCTTCTTCGGCTTCTGTGTGGCAGCCACTGCCTCGGCCAGCTTCTCCTCCGGCACCATGTTCAAGATCTTCAGAGCAAAGAGCAGCTGGAATTTGGCAGTTCCAACGAAGGAGTTGGCCAGGAAGTTTGGCAGCCCACCCATGCGATCTTTCTGGGTGTAGAGGGGGACACGGACCATGCCCATCACCTGCAACGGCACGGAGCACAACTCAGCGGAGATCACGGCACCCCCCCCAGACCCCGCACCCCCACCCAGGACCCCCAGCCCACAGCCCCGGTGCTTGGTGCCCCCCCCTACCCCCACCGCAGCCTGCTCTCACCTGCCTCCAGCCCCACTGAAGCCCCTGCTCTGCCTCTCCCCACACCCCCAATTCCCTGCTCTCCCAGTCCCAGCCCCGTTCCCTGGTGAATCCCGCTGCCCGGGCTGCTATGGGCATCCCCGCTTTCCCCTCCCCACTCAGCCCTGCCTGGAGGCACTGCAGCACAGCACCGTATCCTCAGCAGCACCACATCCTCAACAGCACCACAACCCAGGGCCTGCCTCTTCTGCTCCCGCTGGCGCTCACTGTGTGCTCAGAGAGCACCCGAGAGACCCCCCACGCCTCGCTCTGCCCTTAGGGTGGCCGAGCCGCGCAGGAGGAGCCCGTGCCCCTGCTCTGCTTTTGTGCGACCCCCGGAGAGCGAGGAGCAAAGCAAAGCGCCGCCGTGCTGAGGTTCCGCTGCAGGTGTGAGACGGACCCCGCCCACATCCTGATACAGAGCGGCTAAACGGGGCTTTTCCCTACTGAGGCAGCGAGGGGCAGGGCTGGAGCCCGCGGTGCATCCCCGGCTGCGGAGCTCCCGGTGGCCGCCGAGGGCTCCAGGCAACGGCCGGGGCGGCCCAGAGGCTCCGAGGCGGGCGGGAAGGGGAGCTTTGTGTTCCCCGCAGCCGCGCGCGGCCCCTCCCCACGCGCCCCACCTCCAGCCCGTGGTCTCGGGAGTGCACCGCGCTGATCTCGATGGTGTGCAGCTCCTCCAGGGTCAGCTGCCGGGCGTATAAATGCGCCACCACGCGATGCGGCCCGTCCGTCAGGTGCGAGCACAGGTAGTCGGCCTCCGTCAGGCGCACGCAGCCCAGGCCCAGGCCCAGCACCCGGTTCAGACCGTCCTCCAGGGACCAGTACCGGCGGTCCACGAACCCCCCGGGGAAGCCCAGGAGGCCGTCAAAGCGCATCTGCATCTGCAATAGGGGGCGGGGGTTAACGGGCCCGACCCGAAACGCGCCGCCCTGGGCCCCGCGCCCCGACTAGGCCCCGGCCCCATCCCGCGTCCCCTTCTCCCGTCCCCGGCCCCGGTCCCCGTGCCCCGGCCCCGCCTGTCCGTCGCTGCTCACCAGCACGGCGTAGCGCAGCGGGATGCGGCCGAACAGCATGCCCGGGTTGGGCGCGTACAGCATGGCGTGGCACGAGTGGCTCCAGCCCGGGCCCAGCCGCATGGCTTCGTACCGCGTCAGCGGCTTCAGCTCGGGCACGCCGGGCACCCCCAGCGTCGGCAGCGGAGGGAGGGACCCCGCGCCCGCCGGCAACGCTCCTACGGCCGCCATCACTCCCATGGCTCCCATGGCCGCCATCGCCTCGCCGCCCGCCCGCCGGCCCGCTCTGCGCACGCGCGGACGCGCAAACGTCGGAGGGCGGGACCGACGGCCGCCGTCGGCCAATGACGGCCAGTCGTGCGCCGCGCGACCAATCGGAGCCCGGCTCCGCACGCCAATTCCCGCGGCCGTCTCCGGAAGGGGCGGCCAATAGCGACGGCGCCCCTCGGTCCCGTGACCGACGGCCAATAGGGACGCGCGCCACCGCCCGCGCCGCGCGCCATACTAGGTAGCGGCCGCTCGAGGCTCGCCGCGCCGCAGCCCAATGAGATCAAAGCTGGGGGAGGGCGCGCGGCCGCCCCAGCATCCTCCGCGCGGCGTCGCCGAACAGCACGCCGGGAACGAGGCGGGCACGTGCCGCGCCGCAGCCCCGCTCCTCCCCAGGCCCCGCCCCTCCGCCCGCCCCGTCCCGCAGCAGGAGGCCGGAGGCGGGGCTGACCGCGGCCTTTATTCCTACAAACATAGAAACGCGCGGCGCAGCGCCGCCCGGGCACGAAGCAGAACGAAGGCACACGGCGGCGCCGCCCGGCCCCCGCGGCCGGGAAGGGACGGGATGGGGCGCGGCGCTCCCGGGAAACGCGCGGCGCCGTCCCGGCCGGGCGCGGGGCGTACATCGGCGGCGGCGTTCGTCCTCCCGCTCCGTCCGGCCCCTCACGGCCACCGGCGCGGCCCCGTCCCGGGGATCCCGCGGGCACGGCTCTGGGCGCGGGGCCGCTCACGGGAGGCGGTGCTCGTCCTCCAGGTGCAGGCGCGTCTGCTCGAACAGAAGGGGCTGCGTGGGGCTGGCGGAGCCGCGGCCGGGCAGCGTCTGCGTGAAGTCGGACGAACCTGCGGGAGGAGGAGGAGGAGCGCGGTCGGCCGTAGGGTCGCGCGGTCCCGCGGCTGCAGGGCAGGACGTGAGGGCGATGCGCCACCAGCCCTGCGGGAACCCGGCGTGCGTGCGGGGCCGGCGAGACGGCGGGGGGGGCGGGGGGGGCAGCGCCGCAGCTGCAGCGTCGCCGGGCTCCGGGAGTACCGGACCGTGGAGCTCCGGCGCCGAATACATGGGCGTGGAGCCGTGGGGCGGGCAGGGGTGAAGGGCAGCACCGGGCCGGCTGGCACGGATTGCTGGAGGGGGTGGTGGCCCTCAGGGCCGGGATCGGCCCCAGCGGCAAGCGGGGGCACGGCCGTTCTCGCCCACGGCGGTCCCAGGGCTGCTGCTGCCCAACCACGGCGATGAGTAAGAAGAACAGAAGACGTACCAGCTTACTCCTCTATACCAATAGAGCAGGAATCAGGACCCAGTGCTGCCCGAAACAGGAGGGAGGAAGGCAGACAGAGAGGGAAGGAGACATTAGAGAGGTGCTCAGCACAGCCTGCGACTCTAGGGAAGAAAACAGGCTGCAACGAGAACGGTGGGGCCAAGGCCCCGCACTGCACCCCACAGCCGTACTGTCAGCAAGGCGTGTCCCACTGGCCCTTCCCAGACCCGGGGTGGGCTAATTCCCCTCCTTAGGTCAAAGGGCAGTTTGAGGCTGTGTTTGGTGCTGGGAAACAGGAGCAGGGAGGTCAGGGCCCAGGCACTAAGCTCTCACCTCACCCCTTGTTCATTCTGGCCCGTGTGGGCAGCTCCCTGCTGGTACCCTCCTGACAGGGGCAGGAGCCACATGCAAACAGTCCCAGGTGCTGTACCAGTGGCTTAGCCCAGAGAGGAGAAAGGGGGGAAGGACAGAAACAGAAGGGAGGGGGAGGTGGAGAGAGAAAGGGGGAATG